CAGAGTGACACAAATAATTCTGTTTATTTTGAGCTCCTGCCATGCGCTAGGTCCTGTGTTATGCTTTCCACACTCACAGTGTTTACTAAAGCCTTGCAAATGAGAGTTGTTAATCTACAAATAAATAACGTTTTCCCACTACTGTGGGTGACCCACGGCTCTGGAATTAGGTAGACATAGTTGGTTCTGCGGCTTTCTCTTTCATAGATTAGGAAAGCATCTCATTTATTCAGGAGGCTATGTGAGTTAATGGGTCTATTAAATATGAAAGTTTTCACAAAGCAGTGCAGTGTCTGGAAGTTACCAATGATGGCTCCATAACAAGCCTTTAACAGGTCCCATATATATATATTTTGTTGCCAGGGAGTTCAGTAGCTAATTGATCCCATCATTTCAGATGGGGACAGGTGAAAGGCTGTGCGAAGAGGCTAGGAAGGCCACCATTATCTCAGTGCCAAGGCTAAGTCTGGGACCGTTGCTGGGCTCAGAAACTGAAGTGTATTCCCATACCCTGCTTATGCTTCTCGGTACAATAAGGTCCCCTCACAAATTTGCAACAAGATAAATGAAGCGTCTGGATTTCTGTATCCAGTGTGACAGGTGAGAGGAACACGGCCTCAGTAGTGCCAGATCAGATCAGGTTAACTGTGAGACCTAGTGAGCGTTGTTCTCTGTATAAGTGAGGACTCCTGTCGGCTAGGGGTTCAGCTTCAGCCCAGTGTTTGCAATGAAAAGTGAGTGATTCTTGGTGGCTCCAAGTCACACAGAGACTACAGGTCATTCTCATTCCTGTCGGAATACACCTGGGAGCCAGTCCCAGATGCGTTGCTATGCTCCGCCTTTTCTTCATAAAAGGGCTGTGGATTTTGCTTGTGACTTGCCCTGGATATCTAAGAACACCTGCCATGAAACCCACACCAAGAACCCCTGCTTTGCCCAGCCAGCCTCTTAGTGGGCATGTTGTCTCATTTAGCAGATAACCCTAGGTCAGATTGTAGGGGAGAGTGGGGATGTACAGACAGTGAATAGCAGTTGGTGCAGCCACTTCCTATTCCCTCCTTCTGGCTTCTTGAATTGTGTCTAGAACACACTGGCCAGGCTCAGTGAATGGCAGATAGCCCTGTGACGTCAGAGCCAGAGAAGGGAGGGGGTCTTTGGGATGAGGATGAGAGAGCTTACCCTGCAAGCTGACCTACAAGTCAGTTTCTGGAAATTGTTATCTGAAGATGTTTACCAAGTAGTTTACAAAGGCCAAAGAGGTCAGTTCGCTAAAACGAACATATTTTTAGCTCATTAGGATTTGTTTAATACCCAAGGGACATATGGTCTCATCACTCTCCTGCATGCAGCCAATGGAAACAAGGAAGATTTACTGTCAGAATCAGAACAGGATGGGAAGACACAGACCTCTCAGCAGGGACTGAGCCTTTTCAATCTCCGCCTGCGAAGCCCCAATTTCAAGCATGCTGTCAGAGTTCTTCTGAGGGTGTGTATCTGTCACTGCTGGAGCCCAGCTAAGCTCTGGACAGGGAGAAGCAGAGACTATCAGGAACAATACTGTTCTGGGGGAAGCATGTATCACAAAGACGCCCTCCAAGGATAGAAGGCAGAGGGTCTTCGTGTACACAAATAAAAAACTGTCCAGCGTGGACTGGAAAACTACCTCCCACCCTTTCCACTGCCTGGAGGACATGATACCTTGGCTGGGTGACATGAAATCTGGATTAGGTTATAGACAGAGGTACATCTGTTAATACATTTGTCTGTTCACACCGACTGTCCATAATTTTAATGCTGGGGCCTTCTTGTCGGTCTTGCACCATGGCTTCAAAATACCAGACACAGACAAGTTAAAAGAGGAAAATCTTACATTGGTTCATGGTTGCAGAGCTTTCTACTGGCTCCATTGCCTTTAGTTAGGCTGGTGGCAGAACATGCTAGAAAAGGCTGCTTACCCCATAGTAGACAGATATGAGGGAGAGAAGGGGGGCAGGAAGAGGTAGAGAGAGGGAGGGGGAGAGGAAGGGGAAGGGAGGAGAGGAGAGGAGAGGAGAGAGGGAGGAAAGGAGAGAGAATGAGAGAGAGAGAGAGAGACAGAGACAGAGAGAGAGACAGAGACAGAGAGAGAGACAGAGACAGAGATTACTTGCAAAAAAATTGCTTACTCAAAACCTTCCTTTGGCGATCAGGAGCCACTTGGAAGTTCCCAAGTTGTGTTTGGTCAGTATTCAGTCACAGCAACGAGAAATAAGGCAGAGCCCCTTCCCAGGTACTTTCTTCTTGGTGTTCTCAAATCTTGTTTCTTCCCCAGAAGCACGTGAGCTCACCGTTTCTTGGTTTGACCTGACTTTAGCTTTTTTTTTTTATGACATTATAAAGAAACCAATTACCTGCCATCTCGATTATTTCATTTAAAATAGGCAAGTGGTCTGGGGAGATGGCTCAGCGTTTTAGATAAAATTCTTGCCACTGAAGCATAAGGACTGGAATTCTGACCCTCAGCACCCACATGGATGTCAGCTGGGCATGGTGGCTCACATGTAATCCCAGCTAGTAGGAGGCAGAGGCAGGGTCCCCAGAGCAGGCTAGCTAGCTAGGTTGGTCTATTCACTGAACATGGGTATAAGTGAGAGACCCTGCCTCAAGATAAGAGTGATGGACACCTGACACAAACCTTTGGCCTCCACATGCATGAACAACCCTCCCCACATGCAAGCACATACATGAGAACATGAATACAAGCACGTGCATACCACAAACACATAAAAGATGGGACGCTTATGAATGCTCCAAATCCCACATGGCACTTCTGTTTATTATTTATTGTCCTTGCCTTATAAACACTTTGACCCAAAGCGTGACATAGACTAGAGGAGCCCCCGACCCCCTTCAAACCTGCACACCATTCAACCTATCAGCTATAGCAGAGGGGCTTCTACAGCCCCCGTCAAGACGTTCCTATGTTAGGAATTATCAGGACTAAAGGAAAATCAAGTCCAAAGGGAGGCAGGTGACAGGATGTTGCAGAGACTGAGATCAGGAACATTTTTCTGAGAGCAGGGATGTGTAGTAATGGAACAAGTTCATTGTCTGGCGAACAGTAATCGTCTGAGCAGGATGTGTCCAAGGGAAGCTAAGGCAAGCACATGGCTGTCTAGAGTGATCACTTACAAAGCACAGACTGCTACCAAAAGCGAAAGGGGTCTAAACTTGGTGCTGTCTGACCCAGTGCAAACCACCTGAGGTGTCTCCTTGCTATCCTTGTTAAAGGTAAAACTGGGGCCGTGCAAGGCAGAGACTGGCATGCCTTCCAGCTGTTTCCCATGGGGGTGCCATGTGGATACAACTGGCTGGTCTTTAAGAGATGGATGGTTTTGCTGCCTATGACTCACAGATGGGTGAAACCCTGTGGGCTTCCTTGGTACATATTAGGACAGAGATGACAGGGTCATCAGACCCCAGGGCAGGTATTCTGTCTGCCTAGATTCACGAGGCCTGAGACCACTCCCAGAGATTTGTCCCTCTGCCCACATATCTGGCACATTTTCTCAGCATTTTCCAGCTCTCTCCTCTTGCTCCTGGCACAGAGGTAGAGGGTGGCTTCTTCGTGAGCAGCGGAAGGACAGCAATCTCCTTCCATGACTTCAGCATCTCTACGAACATTGCAGTAACCCCTGTAGATGCTTTAGGAGCTATGTCCAGTATAGCACTGCAGGTGGGTTTACTTACCATGTCAGTGACCAGTCAATGGCCGTATTATGTTTCAACCCATGGCGGTGGGTGAGCAAGTTTTGATAAATGCCATGTGAAAATAACCTAGTGGCATGAAAGCCAGAGAGCCACCATGAGTCTCTCCTTGTGTGTCCTGTCCTTGTGTACTGGACCACCTCGGTTTGTCCTGTGACACAGAGCATGTTGACCCTCCAGAAGTGACCAAAGCTAGAGGCTCTGGTCTTACCTCCAGGTAAGAGGGACCCAAGCCAGGAGTTATGTCAGCTCCCTGTGCTGGGTCTTGGAACTGTGTAACAAACTGTCATGTGCCTGGGGATGGAGATGCTGTAGACCAGGATGTGTCTCTGGAAAGGGAATTCCTCCATGGCGGCTGTGGAGACAGGATCTGAGATGCAAACACATGCAAAGCAGCACCTTCCTTGTGTCCATTTTTTATAACACCAAAGTCAGACTTCATGGTTTTCTGTAAGGGACACCAGACCCAGCTTTGTCTTCTGTGGAGTCCTTTGGGGTGGGGGAGATGCTCCCCTGAGCCAGGACTAACACTCTCCAGAGCTGGAACACCCAGTAGGCCAGAGTGGGTGATACTAGAGCTTGGGGTCTCCCTCACAGGTGATGGCATGTGGGTTTTGTAGCTAGAAATTGGGGGTGGGAGTGGGCAGGACATTGGCCTGGGGAGGGAGAACGGGGTGAGCTTGGGAGTAGAGTTAGTCTGGAGAGATGGGTGCCTGAGCATGGTAGACAGACACTGGCAGAGACTTGCTTGGGTACTAGGTGAAGATAATCTAAGGTCTTCTATCTCCTGGAGAGAGATGTTCTGCTCTGCTCTGATGTGTGTGTGTGTGTGTGTGTGTGTGTGTGTGTGTGTGTGTAAGAGGGAGATAAAATGGGGAAGCTAACTTCCAGCAAACTTCTGTCCATATAGTTGCTCATTCCAGCACACATCATACACACACACACACACACACACACACACACACACACAAACACACACACACCCCACACACGCACACATGCACACACACACAAACACACACACACACACGCATGCACACATGCCCACATACAAATGCGTTTGCTGTCCCCAATGTGCAGATACCACACACCTTTACCCTGTGGAGGGTCTATGTCCCTCCTGCCTGACTCCCAAACCCAGGTAAAGTGATGACACATCTCCTAGCAGCTAATTAGGCAGGTGGGCAGGGCTGTGGAACTGGAGAGCCCTCAACTCTGACCTCACATTAAGGAAAGACACATACCAAACATTAGACTTGATTTCTAAGTAATTTTTTTTCTCATGCACAGCGAACCATCACTAGGACCCAGAGAAGAACATCACTACCCACCACCATCTGGAAATAACGCTGCCATGCCAAGCTGCCTGGCATGTCTCAGGAATGTATCTTTTCTTCAACTCTACCAATAATACTTAATTGTAATTTGTATTAAAGCCGTTCATTGATTCCATGGAAACATTTATTGCAGACCATTGTTTTAAATTATGTGGCAACATCAATCAATGAGAGTGGTCCAGATCTCCCCAAGTCCCTCTGGGCCCTGCCTGGCCGAGGGCATCAGGCTCTTCCTCACCCCATCCTGTCCTTTGAGCCACCAGGAGAGTCAGGTGAGAGGCTGAGAACAGGGATGGAAACACTTGGAGGACACAGTACTCAAGGAAGCTGGCAGCTGTTGGCAGAGTCAGTGGCAGTGGATGAACAACAGGGCTGTCTTCAGACGCCAGGAAACCTCACCCAGTAAGACATCATTTGAATGCAGGTCACCAAGGAAGACAAATAGGCAAGCTTCAAATAGTTAACCAATAGCACATTTGGTCCCAACAGATCTGAACCCTGCCTTGTCCTGTGTGGAGTCCTCAGGCAGGAGATGTTCCTGCCTGGGCTGCTGTCCAAAGTAGACCATTTCAGAGGCCCAAGTCATAGGCGGTCCCTCCTGACAGTCACAGGATTGGAATAAAGGATTGTAAGAGATCTTACATGACCCCTGAAACACAGGAGAACTGCCCTAGTAGTCAAAGCAGCTCAGATCACAGCGAGCGTCAGAGGGGAGGTCCTGAACTGCCTCTCCAATCTGTGCTTGCTTGGGGATATTTACTCAGGGGTGGGGTTTGGTCAGACATCACAGAGTGAGCATGGGCGTTGAGCAGGCATTTCATACTGGGACTCAGCAAGCTGTGGGTATGGACCTGGCTCAGCCCTGCCTGGCCTCATGCTGGGCCTTCCACATCTAATGACTCCTTCAGTACCCAGTAACCTATTAAACTGCATGGGGTGCTTCGGAAGGTCCCAGGCTTTAGGGCCCCTACACTCAGGGAAGACTCCTACCACTGAGTTATCATAACTTGCTTGCTGAGTTTTGATCCCTACAACTGACAATCAGAGGTCACAGTGCACATCTCAGTGGGGTGTGAAAAATAACGTGAAATGAGGGATGGAGCCTACCTCTTCCTTTCCTTCCTTCGTGTCTCGTCTTCCTGGACCCTAGAATTTTCAAGACTCCATATACATCACTTGCATCTTCTGATGTTTTCTGCTTACTTTTCTGTTATTCCCCCACCCCCTTTCTCCCATTTCTTTTTCATTATTTCCTTTCTACGCACTAACCCTTCCAGGATCTCCTATTCTGCCCACATAACCGTATACCCCAGTTAATGTCAATTCAGCAGAGGAGACAAGAGGAGACAAGCCACTGGAGACAAGAAGGGTGAGTGATTCTTTTCCTTCTCCAGGATGGTTTCAGAACATCTTAGCTCCTGTTGTGCCCGGGGGGAGGGGTGGTGCAGTACCCTATCAGGACCTCTTCCCCGTCCTTCATCCCCACCCCAAGTGGCTGCAGGGACTACCTGCACCCACACTCTGCCACACTCATTCCCTCATAGTGGTACTTGAGGGTTGGCACTCCCATATCATCCTTGTAGAGGATGGAGATGGGACTCAGTTTGGTGGGAACACAGCAGGCTTTGCCCACCTTCGTGGGGAACTTGAGATGCACCAGGGTCTGCACAATAGCATGCTTAGTGGGCGTCACATCATCAGCCAGTGGGAAGAAGCAGCCTCCTTTACACTCGTAGGCGTCATATTCCTTGGGTGCAATGATCCAACTGTCCCAGCCAATGTCCTCAAAGTTCACCCTGAGTGATGTCCTCTGGCAGTGGCTGCTGGCCCCAGTGCTCCTCTTCCTTCTCGCTAAGAAAGGGCCCACAGCTGTGTGCCCATCGACTTCCTCGTCCTCATGGCTCTCGCCTGCTTCCTGGTAACCACTCTTAGATGTCTTCACAAGCACCGTCTCCTGCTCATGGCCGATCATCTCCTTCAGCTCCAGCCTGGTCTCTTTGGTCCCGTTGCTGCGGTCATTGGAGAAGACGACGAAGAAGGGCAGGTTTTTGGAACCTGGTGGGACGCTGATGTCCAGTGTGTCACAGCCCTTCCTATGGCTCTCCACTGTGACTTCTAACTTATTCTTGTTTGTGGCGGAGTCTGCCCTGACCCATCTCTTCACAGCACTCGATACTTCCAAGGTCTCCCAGCCTTCATCTTGAATGTCCTGAGATACCAAGAAGGTCCTGGTCCCCGAGGCACCATCCCAAGTGTCATCTCCATCCAGAACATCGTAGACAACCATGTTTCCTTCCAGCCCACGAGTGGAGTCCACGTGATTTTGGCAGGAGACATAGAGCCGGAGCTCAGCCCTGGTGATCTGCTCGTGCCGAGGGATGGAGATGTTGAAGAGCAGAATGTGTTTCTGGAAGGGGAAGTCCTCTGTGGCAGCTGTTGAGATAGCATCTGAAATGCAAACACACGTGGGGAGCGTCTGTCTGGTGCCCATTTTTATGATACCAACACCTAACTTTGGTTTGCTGTGAGGGACATCTAGGACAATAGAGTTTGTCATGTTGTCTCCACTCTGTGTCAAGAACATTTGGGAAAGTTCTCTTGGGATTATTTTTCCCCAGGGGGGAAAAGAACAGAGGCAGGTATCTTCAGTTAGGGTTAATAGTATCTACTCTTTATTGAGCACCTACTGTGTGCTTGGCATTGCACCATGAGTTTGGGAGGATCTAGTTATTATCCCAACTTCACACATGTGGAGATCGGTATCCAGAAGTTTTTACTGTTAGAATACACACAGATAATTAGCAGTCTCATTTAAAGCGGGCCAGGAAATAGATTTTCAGCTTTAGGATGAAGATTTTACAGTCCTGGCTGGGGCCAATGAAAATCCAGTTAGATAAAGTAAAAAAAAAAATGCAGCATTAGAGTGTTTAAATAATTTGGAATTGTGTTAATAGCTTCCATCAAAAGTGAAAAGCATTTCCGTTCCAACAGTTTTGTCATCACGGGCAAAAGTGGGGGTTTTTCTCTTAGCTTCCTAATTGTCTAGTTTCCCACTTTCAGGCTGCGGCTTAACCACTGACACTGCCATTTGTGGGTCCCCGTCCATACTCCATCACCACCAATCCTGGGGAGACATGTTCTGATACACCCAGAGAATGCCTGGAAGTCCAGATGTTTCTAAGCCTGGCACACAGTGTTCTCTCTGTATGCACGCGTGCTTGTGGTAAAGTGCAATGTGTAAACCAGGCACAGGGAGAGCTTAACCATGAGCAAAGAAAAACGAGAATTAAAAAAAAAAATCACATCTGCGATGCAAGCCATTTAGAAGTTATGAGTCACTGTTTTGTGATTTGCATTTAATAGTTATGGACCACAATAGAACCTTCAAAACAGGTCTGGGTTCTTTCAGATTAGGGAGACTCCTGTATTCACCACCGTGAACAGAGACCCATGCTGTGCTGAAACCTAGCTAGTGGTCTATAGATCAGAAATGCCAGTCCTGATTCTGCTCCTAATTGAGTTGGTATTCTTGGGAAGTTTTGAGTTTCTTGGTGCCTCAGTTTCCTCTCTTGTAGAATGGGGCCCATCTTACCTGCTTTTATTAAGGTAGCACATGGGACTTCCAGGCCAGTCATGAGCTAATAGTTGATTCTCAGTTAATCCTTCTGTCCCCCTCCCAAGCCTTGCAAGCCCAACGTCTGTGACAAAGCCTGTGGCCTTTACTCTGGCTCTCTGTGGTCTCCTCGCTCAGCATAAATGCCCCATTCTGGCTCCTGAATCACATGGCGAATGCCATGGCATATCAGAACAGTGGGAACTGCACATTGTACTCCTGGCCTGAGGTGATCTTACCATGGCATACCTCCACAGAGGCCATCAGACCACTGTCAGACATGAGAAATCACATGCTTGCTGGGAAGAGACAGATGTTTCCTAGGTCATGTATGTAAGTTTGTATGTGCGCATGCGTGCATATTGATGCTGTTGCTGCTGCTAGTGTATGTAATAAATGTGTAGGTGAACTGGTGTCTCTGGCTGGGCTTCACATTCAAGCCCGTGGAATAGGATGATTTAGGCCGCAATAAAAACAAAACAACAACAAAACAACACCTCCCCCCAAAGAAAACCTCATCTTTTCTCTAAAGCAGAGACCATAGGCAATCCCAGGGGCCTGGTGACCTGCAAACTGTATGTTTTTAAAAAAATGAATCCATGTTTTTTTTAAAGAAGTAACTTCTTTAAAGAAACTTCTGTCGGACAGTCAGAAAACATAGCAGCACTCAGCATGCTTGTCCTTAACAGGATAGGGGAGCTGGTTCTGTGCAGCAAATAGGGCCTTGCAAGTGTGCCTGGTCTGGCTTCCTTAGTCTTGGCAACCAATCTTTCTGTCCAGGAACTCATTCTACCGAGATTCTGGAATTCTAGGACTTATCAGCTACGAACCTCACCTCCATGTTTATTTTCTAGTCTTTTAAAATCAAGAACACTTGATTTTAAAACATATCGGGCAGACAGACTCAGGCCTACTGTGCTGAGGAAGATTCCATCTAAGAAATAATGAGGAGCTCTTCTTGTATTTTCAAGTCTAGGTTTAAAAAGGATTTTATAACAGAGAAACTGGCTTTCCTTTAAAACTTCAAAACAGACAGGCTTATTTCTATTTCCAAGTCTGAAGGAGACAAGAAGGGAGAGAGAAAGAGAAATCAGGAGGAAGGGAAAGGGAGGAGAGGAAAGGGGAGGAGAGAAGTGAGGGAGGGGGAATAGGGGAAGCAGGAAGGAAGCAAAAAAGATGGAAGGCAAAAGAAATGAGGGAAAAAAGAGGAAGAAAGGACGGGAGGGGGATAGAGGGAAGCAGAAGCCTGGCATCCTTGATACCTGTTGGCTTAAATGAGTCTATGCCCCAGGGGAGGAGCCAGGCTGTCAATCAGAATCTTCAGTGTTGATGGACAAGCCCCATGATTTGCAGAGCCCTTTAGGGAAACCACTAGGCTCACAGAAAAGCTCAACGGAATATTTGCATTTTCACCCTGTTTTAACACGGTGATTCACTTCAGTATAAGCTTGAAGAGCTGCTTGTGGTCGGGGGCCAACCCACCTCGCAGAGCCACTTTGCTATGGGGGCGGGGTGCCGTACGTCCCACCCCGTGGAACCCTGGGGGAATTTCGCACTCTACCTTCCACACTGAAGCTCCTAACGATGTTGGAGGCCGGAGTGGATGACTTGTCGGTCGTGTACCTGTTGTACAGGTCGATCATGTACTGGGGTGGCTCCACTCTGGTTTTGTCCTGGGAGGGGATACCGCTCAAGTTAAGGCTGCGCAGGAAGTCCACCTTCATGTTCTCCAGGAACATCTTCAAGTCAAAGACACCCTCGTCTCCACCTCCAGACAAGCCTAGTGAGCTGCGGGCGTTTCCCCCGGGGGATGGCTGGACCCAATCCTGCAGCGGCTTCTGGTGTGTAGGACAGACCAGCAGGAACAGCATGAGCAGGGCCACCCAGAAGGCCCCAGGGGACATCTTGGGCCCTAAAGAGGGGCAGCCGGGCTGTTGTGGTATGTCACCAGGTGCAGCGGGGAGCCCCGGAGGAGCGGGCCCACATTGTCCTGACCGCTCAGCAGGGAGCGGGGCTGGCTCAGGTTCTCCCCAGCAGTCTGAAGGCCTCCACGCTTATCTGGGTGTGGATGCGATGCTCGGACCTCTTATCTAAGGCAGCTCTCTTTAATGAACACTGTATAAACATCTGACGAGCACTCGGGCTGGTGGGAAGGACGCAGACAACTGTAAAGGATCGGCATTTCTCCGGGAGGTCATCCACCCTAATTAGGATCTTCGTTCATTTCCTTGCTGCCTTGGTCAGAAGACTCTCCAGGCAGAGGGACACTGGCCCCATCCCCTGGACCACAGGAACAAAAAAATCCAGGAAATGAGGTCAGGAAGTTCCCCAAATGTAGAAAGCTCACCAAGTACCCTGAAGATAACACAAACTGTGGGGCCTGGAAGGTGGGGTGAGGTGAGGACTCCAGCTGGGTTGGAGAAGACTGGCACTTGTGCAAGCAGGACCTGACGGTGTAACTAGGCACTGTCCCCTGAGGAAAGGGCTCCTGAGTATCAAGAATGGAGCGTGCATGGGCCTAGCACACTCAGCGTGCCCGTGATGTCACAACCAATACAGACAAGGACTCCAGTCCCAACTCCCTTGCTTGCTGCCCCAGGCTGTGGCCTCAACTCTTTCAGCCTCCTTTTCAGGAGCAGAGAGGTAAGGATTTAGGAGATGTGTTAGCATACATGAAGGCAGCCGCTGGCAGTTCCTAGCAGTAGACGGTTGTGTTCAAGCAAGCCTCTAGTGTCGGTCTGACTAAGTTGGATCTGGATCAGCTGCTCCTTAGTACCATAAACAGATGCATTCAGAGATCCTGAACTCCAGCCCTGTCCCTGGCCTGTGTGGCGCTGGCGTGTGCAAGTGTACATGTGTAGGTGTGTGTGTGTGTGTGTGTGTGTGTGTGTGTGTGTCTGTGCATATTGATTCATGTTAGTGGGGAGGCCATCTGGATCGTACCTATCAGTCAGGAGACCCACACAGCAGCTAGGGTACACAAGAGCAGTTAGGCGATTCTGAGATGGATCCCGTGCCCAGAGATGGTTTCTAGCCTGTGAAGACTGTTGGTTACAGCTCAAGGACAGTGTGTATTAAAAGTGATGTCCCCATGCTTAGCTTCCGTCTATTTCCACCACAAGTGGCATTAATAAAAGCAAAGAAAGAGCACAGTTAAAAATATTTGCAATGAGTGGTATCCAGAGAAGATAGGGTATGATGTTCTGTGCTGTTGGGGCTCCTGGGGAGAAGGCACAGAAGGTCAAGGAAGTTCAGAGCTTGCAGGATGAACCAGGACAGGCTGTGGTCAGAAGACTCAGAGTGGGAGGGTGAACTGGCAGACAGAATTTGTATCTGCCCTTTAGGGACACATTCAGGGGAGAAAGAAAGGACACAGTCGAGGAGACACTGTTTGGGGGATGGAAAAGAAAGTGTACTGAGTACCGATTCTGTGTAAGAAGTATCATGGCTGGAAGAAGAGGAATGGAACAAATGCCAGGTCCAGAAGATGGAGTTGAAATGGCAGTGCCAGTGGGCCAGGAGGAGCTAGGGGACCATCTGGACAGTCTCTCCATGTGCCATAGCCTCTGGGGTCAACAGGTCCTGTCTACACTCACAGGCTGAGCTCTGGACCTCCAGGTGAGCAGTGGGAGCTCCAGGCAGTGCAAAGGGCTGCTACCCAATTAATTTTTTAAAAACTTGACAAAATTTCACCTCACTAATGATAGCAGCATATGGCACAGAAAACCTGGGACAGACCAAACATAAAAGATAAAAATCCTTTACGGCTTCACAATCCAGCAACACCCAGAGTTACAGACTCAGACATGTACTATGAGTCCCTGCCAAACTCTGGTGGCCTGGAATGCTTCGGGGATTAAGAAAGCTTCAGACTGTCACCACGTCGTCTCAGGCAGCTGTTGTGCTGTGGGAGAGACATAGCTGAGAGAACACAAGGGGCATATTTGGTTCATCCGCTTATTTCAGGTGTCACTGAAGCCAGTTCTCCCAAGGTGGAAACTTGGGTCTTGTCTGTCATTTACAGAGGTGAGAATGGGTTCACCTGAGTTTCCATACCACGATCGTCCTAGGAAATCAGACACACCTTCTGTCCCAGAACACACCCTCTCTTCCCTGCAATTCGTGTTTTTGTTTTTTCAAGACAGGGTTTCTCTGTATAGCCCCCGTTGTCCTGGAACTCACTTTGTAGACCAGGCTGGTCTAGAACTCACAGGGATCCACCTACCTCTGCCTCCCAAGTGCTGGGATTAAAGGCATGCACCACCGCGCCTGGCTTCCTGCAGATTTTGAGAGACATGCTACGTACAGTTGTCCAGAGGAACGAAAATACATCCCTGTGGAAGCTGCAGGGAGTGGCTGGAGGCAGGCAGAGCCAGGATGGATTGCTTACCAAATCTGGGCAGAGCTTCCCTGAGAACCTGTTTCCAGTTGACCCATGATAAGCACAGATCCATTGAATGCTCCTGGCCTGGGACTGTGACAGTAACCAGTCAGAAAGTCTGATCCACTGACCAGCCACCCTAACCCCTGGGAGGTTGTTAGAAACGCAAAGGCTCAGAATACAGCAGAAAGCTGTGTGATCCTAACAGGTGGTTCTGATGCATGTTCAAACTGAACACTAGATTTGGCTTTATTTGATGGGGCTCATGTGCTATCCACCCTCTCCAGTGTGTGTGTGTGTGTGTGTGTGTGTGTGTGTGTGTGTGTGTGTGCGTGCATGTGTGCATGTGTGTGCGTATGCATGCACACATGCACATGTGGGTATATGTGTTGCTAAGAATTTGCTCTAAGCACAGAAGTTTTGATAAAATAGAAGAATTGTGTGAGTCTTCTACAAAATGAAACAAGAAGAAAAAGCTGTCCCACAGTCTTAGTGGGAGGTGAGTCCCAGGGTTCCCCTACACATACCAAAGTCTGAGGATGCTTCAATTCCTTTTATAAAATGTCCTGGAGAGATGGCTCAGCAGATAAAGACACTGCCGCTCCTTCAGAGGAACTGAAATTCAGTTCCTATCACCCATGTCAGACAGCCCACAATTGCCTATAATTCCAGTTCTGGGCATCTGATGCTCTCTTCTGGTCTCTATGTGCACCTGTATGGTGCACACATGCACGCACACACACACCCATGCATGCATGCGTAAGTGAAAATAAATCTTTTAAAAAGCTTAGAACAACTACAAAGAAATGAAGAAATGAAATAACGCATGCTCCCATTGACCAGGCAATTTCTCTGATCTAATTGGTATAATCTCTGATCTATATTGGACGTATGAATTAAAACGCTATGTTGCATCTTACAGATGTGTGCAACTTCTATGTGTCCATTTAAAGTCAACATACATTTTAAAATAAAATAAGATTACACCATGTTGTTATAGTGCGCTCTTTAGAGGAAAATTCCTACATACACAGTATAGATGCAGGTTTTTTTTTTTAATGTTTTCAATCCCAGGGTGATTGAATCTAAGGATTTGGAATCCACAGAGATGGCGTGGAAAGTCCTTCTGTACATGCAGTGCTTTTATTGGTTAATGAATAAAGCTGCTTTGGCCTACAACAGGGCAGAATAGAGTAAGGTAGGAATTCCGAGCAGATAGAGGAGAAAAGAAGGTGGAGTCAGAGAGATGCCATGTAACTGTCAAAGGAGAACTTACTGGTAAACCATGAGCATCATGGTGATACATAGATTAATAGAAATGGGTTAATTCAAGTTGTAAGAGTTAGTTAATAAGATGCCTAAGCTATTGGCCAAGCAGTCTTGTAATTAATATAATTTCTGTGTAATTATTTAGGGTACAGGTGGCCAAGAAACGTACAAGCAGTCTCTGCCTACGGGGGGCGGGCAGCTGTATAGTTTATCATGATCTTTGACACATCACAAATGTTAAATATTTGAATAAATAGACAGAGCTACTCACACCTTTTCACTCCCAACTCATACAATCAAGAGCACTGGAAGAGATTAGAGGAGGGAGCCTAGAATTGGGTGGGGTTTAAGTGACAGTTGCCAGAGGCATGGAAGGAGACCCAAGCTCCAGTGAGCATCACCAGCTTTGGGGAGTAGAATGGAGGAGAACAGAACCTAGAGAAGCACCATCATCTGAGGAAGCTTTTGTTTGATGTGGGATTCCCCTCTGCATGCTGTGAATATGTTTTATTGCCACTGATTCATAGGGAAGCTGCTTTGACCTATGGCAGGACAACTGTTTAGGCAGGAAAACTAAACTGAAGGAGAGGAGGAAAGAAGGTGGAGTCAGGTGGACGCCATGTAGCCTCCCAAGTGAGAGGTAGCAAACTACAAGCCTCATGGTAAAATATAAGATATTAGAAATGGGTTAATAGAAGATGTAAGAGCTCTAGGAATATGCCAAAGCCATTGGCCGAACAGTGTTATAATTAATATAATCTCTGTGATTATTTGGGTCTGGGTGGCCAGGAAACCTAAGTGCAGACTCCTTTTATATTTATTTTTAGGTGTTGGTAAAGTAGCATAGACTAAGTTGAGCTCTCATTTTAGTGCCGTGATGCACAGCCCACAGTTGGAGCTTGTGAGCTGCTTTTCTGCTGGTCTCTCAGACAGGTCGCCTCTTAACCTCCTTGACGCACCGTGGTCACATGCTCCAATGCAGGTGATACCCGCAATGTTCTCCTCCAGCCAAGACCAGCTCTTCCTTCTTCTCTGACTCCACAGTTTCCCCTCCTCTTCTGAAGACCTTCTCCCATGTCTTCTCACCCCTATCCCTGACATCTCTAAGTTTCTCCATTATTTCAGCTCTGTTTCAATTCTGGCTATCTGGTGGCTCTCATGGTATGTTCAGGAGTGACGTATGCACTCGGAGTTTCTTATTGGAATACCTCAAACCAGCCACCTGGTTTCACCAAGACTCTGCTCTCACACTCCTATAAAAACATAACCAAATCTGGAGCTTTTCAAAGTCTGGCTTTTGGTCTGATGAGTTACTCTCTAAGATGCTCTAGCCTTCCTTTAAGAGGGTGTTTAAGTTCAAGAACATAGCCCACTGGCAAGGTACCAATTTTCTCTCTCCAGACCAACACAGGCTCAACTGAGTGACCTCAGAGACCCATGC